TTATGGGGTTGTTAACCAATGTCATAAAACAACATGTGTACTACTGTTTCATGAGAAACTATTTGTTCTGTAAGCCTTCACCTGAAGTACAATAAAATATAAATTGAAAAAAAGTGAGTTTTAAACTTATATTTTAAAGTATGTGAGCCATAGAGCACAGTATTTTGATAATTAAACTTTTAAAAATGACTCTTAGTGGCATGGCTGAGTAAGCTCCTACCAGATAGATAACAACTATAAACTCTGGACCAAATACAAAAAATAATTATGGAAGGCACTGGAGAGGGAACAAAAGCAGGCAGGCTCTAGAGACCAATCAACTTTTGGAAGAAATGAATAGCAGAGTTAAGTTTCAGAGGAAGTATTGGTGGTTCAGTAGTAGAATTCTTCCCTTCTTACAGGGAGACCTGAGTTCAACTCCTGGCCAATATACCTCATGCACAGCCACCACCCAACTGTCCATGCGGGCTTGCATATTGCTGTGATGCTGAACATGTTTCAGCAAATCTTCTAGACTAAGAAGGGCTAGGGAAAAAGGCCTGGTGGTTTACTTCCAAAAATCAGCCAATGAAAACTCTATGGATGGTAATAGTCCCATCCACAACCAATCATGGGGATGGCACAGGAGCAGGTAGCATTTTCTTCCGTTGTACATGGGGTCACCACGAGTCAGGGGACGACTCAATGACAGCTAACAATAATCTGACACAGTTGGTACCATACTGGGCCAAACCCAAACCAAACCCATTGCTGTTGAGTCGACTCCGACTCATATTAACTCTATAGGAAAAACAGAACTGTCTCATAGGGTTTCCAAGGAGTGGATGGTGAATTCAAACGGCCGACCTTTCAGTTAGCAACCTGAGCTCTTAACCACTGTGTCACCAGGACTCAGTGGCCAGAGGGACTAAAACTCCAGTAGGAAACCCTCAGGCTTCCTGGGCTCAGGCATTTTCTCTGTCCTCCTCTTACCTGGTCACCCTCTGACCTCTGATGTGTCTCTCCTCTCTTGGCTTCTGTAAAATCCACCATTTCTGGGTTCCTTCCTTCCTCTCTGACTATTCTTCCTGTGTCTCTCTTGATTTCTTCTCTTCTTCCTTCTACTCTTTAAATATTAGCATCCTCCTGGAGTTTATCCTCAACTTTTAATCAATACACTTTCTCTACACAGTTTATTGATTCTTGCTCCCTCAACTACCACTGAGGCACCAGATTCATGACCATAACCCAGGACTCTCTTCCTTTCTAGATCCCTCTAGCTTGAAACTTGTATCAGTGGGATGGGAGTTTGACTCTGAAGTCAGCACATAAGCAAAAATGGTATATAGTCAAAATTTCACTTGGCATTCTCGTAGGAAAGCAACATGTCAGAGTTCTTATATTCCTCCATTTCTTTGCCCAGTCTGCACTATTGAATTTCCACAAGATTAATGCAGGTAAAATATGATTCCACTGTATTTGGTTTTCCTACAAGTAACTCTAACTTATCATAGCCACACCAAACTTACCATCAGCCCTCCATCTACATACATCACGCTCCTCCACTTTAACCAGTTGCCATCAAGTAGATTCCAACTCATGATGGGCCCAGTGTGTCAGAGCAGAACTGTGCTCCATAGGGTTTTCTGTAGCTGATTTTTCAGAAGTAGATCTCCAGGCCTTTCTTCCAAGGCACCTCTGGGAAGACTCAAAATCCAACCTTTCGGCTAGCAGAATTAACTGTTTGCACCACCCAGACACTCTCTCCACCTTTACTTCCTACATTAACAGACAGCACCAAAATCAACCTGGTTACCTAAGCCGAAAATCCGAGAGTCAGCCTCTACTCCTCCCTCTCCTTCGCGCCAAAATCCGATTGGTCACGATTCCTGTTGATTTTAATCCAGCAAATGTCTTAATTCAAGATCTCATCATCTTTTACTTGGACCATGGCCAGAACCCCAAACTGATATCCCTGCCTTCATTTCTTTCTGCCTCCAATTCTCTACAATGCATCCAGACCTATTATCTTTTCCTAATGCAAATATGATCGGATTTCTCCCAGTTTGGAGAAATCCTCCAATGGTAACTCACCATTCATAGCAGGGATTTCCAAACATTTTTGTAGCAGCTAAACATTTTCAAATAAATATCATACAAGATATTACCTACAAATAGATACATTATATTTTATTGGAATTAATTTACTTTACAAGTTCTAAATGTACAACATAGTAAACCAATCGACAATAACAGTTTTGCTGAAATTAAAAAAACTCAAAATCATTAGTAATACAATTAGATCAGCATCACATTGCTATTTATTTCTCTGTTTTATTTGATTGTGCAGGTTCAAAAAGATCCTGATTCATATCAATAAGTAGCTACAAATAATAATCTGTTTCCCCTCATCTTTCAAACTTAGGATATTGTCCGTTTAAAGAGAGCAAGATTTATATACAAATGGATTATCCTTTCAACACAGATTACTTGGTTGTTGGTCTCTACTTTGTTAAAATTTTATATCTAATACTTAGTTGGAGTGTGTGTTTAAGATCTATTTCGTAAAATAAAAATCATTGCAAACATTTGTGCAATCCTTGAGTCTCCTCTTCAGAACCTTGGGTTCCATGGAATAGAGCTTGAAAACTAACAACCTAGATGCTGAAGCCCAAACCCTTTAGTATGGCATGCAAGGCGCTGGTCATTTGGACTTTATCAGTCTAGCTGCATTTTTCACCATTGCCAAACTTTCACCCAGTTTCCGAAATCCATCCCCAACTTTCCTGGGGTTATACTTTTGCACTTGTTACTTTCTCTGCCAAATGTGACTGCTACAGTATTGCCTTCTAACCTGAATTTCTATTAACTTGTTTCCAAGGGTTAAAACATTAACTTCTCTGTGCATCTTTCTTTGACCGCCCCCAAAGAATCTTGTATATACCTCTATCATCAATATGTGTTCCCTTGTGTGATAATTATCTTTCTTTCCATAGTAAAGCTCCTAAGAAAGGACTAATTTAATTATCTTTTAATTTAACCCCAGGGACTTTCACAAGGCCTGCTATGTAGTAATCAATCAATAAACGTTTTTTAATTCATTGACCCATTAATTAACATTAATAATAATAACCAGTGAAGTAATTACAGTGGCTGAGACGGCAGATTTGTATAAGATAGTCAACAGATAACGCTCTCATTTAGTTGACACTTTAGGTTAGATAAGTACTAAGTACAAAACACTCTTATAAATCATGTTTATTTTAATTTTAACCTAGTTTTTCTTTCATAATGGCATTACCCACCAAGAAAGGAAAGTAGGATCACCAGCAGGACAATGAGAGCACAGATACATGGAATCAGGACCAGCAGGAGAAAACGGAGGTACTTAGCAATCACCAGCTTCTCAGAGCAGCCATCACCCATGTTATCGTCATCAGCTCCCAGGACCTAAAGTGAAAGAGGAAAATGAAGCATGGTTTTAATATTACAAAGTGACTCGATACATGGTATAAAATTATAGATTACAGCTATCCATTCAGAACAGCAGCATTCCTAAGGGAATTTACTGTGTGTGCTTTAGGGCATGAAATGAAGTTAGTCACCAAATCATGGTAATAAATGAACAAATAATTGTTACATCCATACGCAGAGCAAAGCAAATCATCTATTTCTGAAACATTTCTCAGGAGGGCATGAATTTTAATGATGCTGTGTTTTTATTTTTTTTTAACATATTCACCAATTTGGTGTTATTCACAAGGGCTATACATTACCATGGCGAGAACCCACCTTGGCCTAGAGTTATAAGCAAAGACTACCTAATACAATGAAAGAATATTGGTGAGTAGGAGTAGGCAGGACATGATCTAGACTGCATTCTTTTTTGTCTCATTTGTCTTAACCTGAATCTGCATGAATCTGGATAAAAATAAGTTTTCAGCCTTCACTCCACTACTAACTCAGCAAGGTTGACTAATACTGACCAGTGATAAGTTGAACAGTGAGAGAGAACCTGTCCTGTTGATCAGTTAAACACTGATGGTCTCTTAGGACGCCCTCCACTGCAGGGAAGCCCATCCATTTGTGAGAGGATGATGGGATGCAACAGTGATGGTTCAGATAAAGTCCTTGTGTTTATCTGCTTAGCTCAATATCTTGCCAGAAGTGATGTCTGTAAATTCATTTATACAGTGAAACCTGTGAGAGCAGGAACTCGATGGGACTGCTTTGTTTTTGGGGGGGTTTCGCAAATTGTCTGCCTTTGACGAGGTGCAATCTTACTACTTTTCTATCTCTCTATTAAGAATCCTACCTCATTAAAACAATTTCCGAGGCCAACTCTTTAGACGAGGATTGGACTGGACTGTGGGACATAAAGTGATACTCGTGAGAAGTGTGCCTCTTAGCTCAAGTAGATACAAGAGACTAAATGGGCAGCTTCTGTCCAGAGGTGAGATAGGAAGGCAGAGAGGGTTAGGAGCTGGTTGAATGGACATGGGGAATCAGGGGTGGAAAGGAGGAGTGTGCTGTCACAGTGGGGACAGCAATTAGAGTCACATAACAATGTATGTATACATTTTTGTATGGAAAACATTTTTAAAAGAAAAAAAAAGAATCCTACCACATAAACACCCAGAAAGTGTTTCTTTTCTATTTTAAACCAAACCAAAAAGCCCGTTGCCATTGAGTCGAATACAACCCATAGCAACCCTACAGGAGAGAGTAGAACTGCCCCTATAGGGTTTCCAAGGAGTAGCTGGTGGATTTGAACTGCTGACCTTTTGGTTAGCAGGTGAACTCTTAACCACTGCACCAGCGAGGCTCCTTTTCAATTTTGTAGGACTGGAAAAGAAACTAAACCATTTTTTATGATTTGTATGTTTACTGAAATTATATACAGATACGTACACATACTATTCAAACAAAGATATGGGTAAAATTCACTTTTTTAGTAAAAACTTCTAACATCAACTGTACAGTTTGTTTTGTTTTTTTTGATGGATGAAATTATTGAAACATATTTCTAAGTCTGTATGTAGCTTTATCAAGGAGCCCTGGTGGTGCAGTGGTTATGAGCTTGACTGCTAATCAAAAGGTCAGCAGTTTGAATCCACCACCTGCGCCCTGGAAAGCCTATGGGGCAATTCTACTCTGTCCTGCAGGGTCGCTATGAGTTGGAATCAACTCAACAGCAACAGATTTGGTTTGTGTTTTTTTAGCTTTATCAAAAAACTCTTGGTCTCCTTCAACTTTTCCAAATTCTTTCAAGGTCGTTATAGAGCTGAAAACTTGTGTTTGACTTAAATGCTCAGGCTCTTCTAATGGTAGGTCTTTATCATCTTCATCGTCATCATCTTTAGATTGCGAGTCCACAATTTCTTGTAGATTTACATCATCTGTTTCTGTGGCAATTTCTTTGTCGATATCAATGTAAAATGTGGCACTGACTTATTTTCTGAAACATCATTGTTGTTGTTCAGTGCTGTCGAGTTGGTTCCGACTCATAGTGACCCTAAGTACAACAAAACGAAACACTGCCTGGTCCTGTGCAATCCTCACAACCATTGTTATGCTTGAGCCCATTGTTGCAGCCACTGTCTCAGTCCATCTCATTGAGGGTCTACGTCTTTTTCGCTGATCCTTTACTTTACCAAGCATGATATCCTTCTCCAGGGATTGGTCCGTCCTGATAACATGTCCAAAGTATGTGAGCATTCTGATAACAGCACCTAATGAACATTCTGGCTGTACTTATTCCAAGACTGATTTGTTCGCTCTTCTGGCAGTTCATGGTATATTCAATATTCTGTGCCTTCACCATAATTCAAAGGCATCAATTCTTTTTCAGACTTTCTTATTCGTTGTCCAGCTTTCACATGCATATGAAGCAATTGAAAACACCACAGCTTGGGTCAAGCGCACCTTAGTCCTTAGTGACATCTTTGCTTTTTAACACTTCAAAGAGGTCTTTTGCAGCACTTTTGCCCAATGCAATGCGTCATTTCATTTCTTGACTGCTGCTTCCATGGGTGTTGATTGTGGATCTAAGTAAAGTGAAATTCTTGACAACTTCAATCTTTTCTCCGTTTATCTTGATGTTGTTTATTGGTCCAGTTATGAGGATTTTTGTTTTCTTTATGTTGAGGTGTAATCCATATTGAAGACTGTGATCTTTGATCTCCATCAGTAAGTGCTTCAAGTCCTCTTCACTTTCAGCAAGCAAGGTTGTATCATCTGCATATCACAGTTTGTTAATGAGTCTTCCTCCAATCCTGATACCATGTTCTTCTTCATATAGTCCAGCTTCTCGGATTATTTGCTCAGCATACAGATTCAATAAGCATAGTGAAAGGTACAACCTTGACCACATGTTTCCTGACTTTAAACCATGCAGTATCCGCTTGTTCTGTTCGAATAACTGCCTCTTGCTCTATGTACAGGTTCCTCATGAGCACAATTAAGTGTTCTGGAATTCCCGTTCTTGGAAATGTTATCCATAATCTATAAATGTTGTTTGTTGCATCCTGAATCTGCATGATGTTATCGGGCTCCATAACTCTTTCGTTTCTATACTATTGTCACTGCCAAATAAGAAACCGCAGTTCTTAAAGCATTTTCTTACAGTTTCTTCCTTAATCATTTTGATTTGTCACTTATGAAATGAAATTACATCAAGAACATTGATTTTCCCCAAAATATCTGATGCCATCTTGTACATCTCAATGTTGGCAATCACTTTTTGAAGCAATAGCTTCTGTAGATTACTTAAATATTTGGGATGATGTCATTATCCAGAGGGTGTAGGACTGATGTCCTAGATGGAGGGGAAAAATTAATTTAATATTGGACAGAGGCAGTAACTGATGACAAGTAGCATTGTCAACAAACAAAAGAATGCTTCAGTTTTGTTTTTTCATGCTACTGTTGAGTTAATTTAAAAACTCTTCATAAATTGCTTCCACAATCGAAGCTTTTTTATTCCATTTCCATTCTACTGAAAGCTGATTAATTTCAATATTCTTGAAGCACCGTGATTTCTCACTCTTTCCAATTACCCGTGTTTCTCAAATGTCCCATCCTCAAACATGGTCAAGAGGAAGGCAAGCCACTCTTTGGAAAACCACCCCATGAGCATTTTCCTCCTTCATTTTCAGGGTCCTATTAGTCATTGCCCTGTAAAGTAGAGCAGTCTCATTGGCGTTTGCAATGTCTTTAGGATCATATCCCCTTACGATCTCTTTTAATTTTGTGAACCGGTTTTGAACAACGTCCTTTGTCAACTTCCTTTAACTCCCCATCGCTACATTGCAAGTGATTTCTGTTTTTTGTTTTTTTTAAGTTCTGAAGCCATCCAAATCCATTACCCTTTAAAAGTTTCACCGTTTCTTTCGCTGTTGCTTGCAGGAAAGGTCCTGAAATGAGAACATTTCTGGCAGAGGCTTGAAGAAACCACTCAAAAACAGATTTGCTGATTTCTACATAATTTCCATCCCTTCCTTTCTTGATGTTTACACTGGTGCTGCTCATGTATTTTTCAATTATTTTACTCTTTTCTTTCATAATTGAGTAAATTTGCATTTTACCACACTTAACTACAGCTTCTTTGGTCTTTTTCTCCTCGGTTATTATTTTGACAACATCAAACTTTTCTTTTAGACATAAATTTCTCACTCTCTTGTCCATGACTGTGAAGGAGTAAGTTTTTTAAAAAAGGAAATAAGTTCTTATAAAATTTAAGGAATTTATGATCTTGTCTTCTTGAGAATGTGAATATCTCAAACTAAAAGAAAAAAATGAAAGCTATCAACATCATTATATGATAAAGTTAGCACACTGCAGTAAAATATTTAAGAAAAAAACCACGTGAGAAGAATGTTTAAGCTTTTGTACACACATTGAGTGTCTTAAGTGAGCAAATCCTTCTCTATTGTTTTTGGGCAAAACAAGAAATTTTGAAGGAAAGAACTTCAAGGAAATGAAGGAGTGGATTTTAAAAATTGTAATAACGTATAAAAATTATAAATAGTTAAAGTGAAAACTAAAAATTAAAGATAAGGGGAAGAGTAAAACCTCAAGACAAGGGAAAAAAGGATGCTTTGCTAGATTTTAATGAAAATAAATTTATTAGTATCTCTTCTTCCAAACTTACGGATGTTGTTCGTCACTAGAAAAAAATTACAGACCAAAAAAAAAGAACAAAAAAAGCAAAAACATAAAGAATAGACGTATTCAGAGAATCAGAGAACAATAGCGACGCACAGTCTGCACTTAAACACAGTAACAGTGCAAAAGGAAGGGGAAGACTGAGCCTTCATCTCTGACTCTTCTACTTGGAACTGTTTCCGGCTTTCACATCTGTACTGCTTCGTATTTGGGTTGCAATACCAATGATTTTCTGATTCCATCTGCGTCTCGCAGGTTCCAGCTTTCAGAGAATATTAGGCTGAAGTAATAGTTTTAGTGGAAAATATTTCAGTTTTCCTCCTCTGACAGGTTTCCACTTTATACAGGTTCCTGCTTTTGCAGATTTTACTGTAGCTAGCTTAAGGCTATAACTTTTTTTAACAGGAGTTTGAGATGTTACTAAAATTGCTTTGTAACTATGGGCAACTCCCCTGGTCACCTAATGAAGGCATTCCTCCTGAACTCTCTGGACTTTTGACTGCATTTTCTCCTCTGGAAGTTTCAGAGCTTAAACTATAACCTCTCTACAACTGTTTCCCAAATCTCCCTCAAGCCCTGAACTTCTTTTCAAGTTATATCCTATATTCCCAAAGCCTGGTGGTTAGCAGTACCTCTTCTCAACATGTCCACAGCCAACACTAATTTCCTTCTCTATCTCTATCTTCAAACCAGTTCTTCTTCCGACATCCTTTTGCAGTAACTCCACTTCTCCAATACCAGGGTAATTCAGATTCCTCACCTCCCTATCATCCCCATGCCATTCATGGTTAGTTCCTTTTCTGTAATAAATATCTGATTAAGGAAAAAATAAATGACTTTTCATACAGAGCCTTATCATAATCAAGAAGTGTTTTCTACCAGCATGGTCCTATAATATTGATTAGTACCAGTATTTCTTAATCATTTCCCATTGATACAAAGACAACTTTGATGGGTTCTTCTGTTTTTTGTTTTATGTTCCCAACATCAGAATCAATCCCCGTTCATTGACATATACTGTAAGCAGTGTTCACTACATAATGTGATGACATTTTCAATAATTTTAAGAACTCTCCGTGAGAGATATTATTTGAAAGAACTTATGATATTAGCTTGTGAATGGCTTATTTTATAAGTTAATATCTTTACTCAGGCCTGGTGATCTGCTTCTGAAAGGTCACAGCCTAGAAAACCCTATGGAGTACAGTTCTACTCTGCACACATGGGGTCACCATCAGTCAGAAAGGATTCGATAGTAATTAACAACAATGTCTTTACTGACCTACTCCCTCTGTAGCTAATTTAAACTACCAGTATGAAGTCATTCAGAGTTAATTTACAATTTGGTCTGCACTAAGGTACGGCAATGATGCAGTATAATATGGGATATGCAATAGCACATTGATTACATCACCAGCATCGGATGGGTGGTGCTCTTTAAGGCATGTAATAAAACTTACTGGTAAAAACTAAGTGTGAGACTGCAGCCCAACAGAGGTAGAGGCACAACAGACTTGTATATTTCATTTACTCAACAATTAGTTATTGAATGCCTACTTTATACAAGTAATTGTAACCAGCAGAGTGATGGATATAACAATGATTTCAGACTAGCGGTCCCTCAAAAAGCTCACAGTCTTGTAGGAGAGATAAGATATGTACATGAGTAACACATCTGTACTTCACCAAAGTATCATATAACAAGCATCACAAGACTTATAGCTGAAGTGCCATGGGAATTCAAAAGCTAGAAATATGATTTCTCACTGGGGGATCAGGTAAGACATTATAAAGAGAGCAGTACTAGAGCCAGCCATAATTCTGAGAAAAAAAACCCGGAAAAGGCATGTGATATGTAAAAATAAAAAAGAGCTGTAAAATACACTCAGCGAGGTAAGGAATTATGAACGTTCTTTGACTTCTGTAACAACAAAATGGGTTTCTTGGTTAAGATGGCTACAGGAACATTATAGGGATAATCTTTTTGGGCAACAAATTCACAAAGGCCTCAGTGCTATCTGGAATCCTATGGTAAAATACTTCCCGTTTAGTATTCATAAGTAAAGAGCTGGTGGAGAAAGTGCTAGAGGCTCATTTTAATATCTCATATAAGTGTACATCAGTAAGTACTTGAACTCCAAATACCATGCTCATGATTATTCCAAATATTTTCTCCAATGACTAGGAAACTGATTGCTTTTCACAGGGGGAAAGGAAGAATTAACTTGGAAGAAATATAATAGTTCAGCATTGCTCTCTTGAACACATAACTTTCCTCTTGCACTCATGGCCACTTATGACTATTGCTCCAAATGTTGCATTTATTCAGAGGTCCTTGGAGGTTCCTCTGACCATAATGCAACTCTGAGACTTCACTGTCTAGTGAATAATGTCGGATAAGATAAACTGCTAGGACAATTCCTAAGTTTCAGTGGGCTCTGAACAACCTTCTTTCCAAATGGTGCCTCTCTTCCGGAATCGACCATCCACGTCCTTGAAACCGTAAGTTAAGCACCGACACAGCATTCCATGGTTTGTACAGGGAACAATGCATCTGATTGGACCTGCACATATTTCAAAGCATGTAGTTTTGAATCTAGACCTACAAACCTGCCTATTTATGCCCTCATTCTTTCTTCCTCCCCTCCTGTTACAATACAGACACTGTTCCTCCACCTATTTAAGATTAATTCTTCCACTTTCGTTACATTCTCCATCTCCTTCCGTCTTCTCGTGAATCTTACATGCTCCTTTTTATCATATATTCAATCTCTCTCTTCTCCCCCTCCTTTCTTCTCTTTCTTCTGTATGTTTTTGTCACCTTTTTTACCATATGTTATGCATTACATTGTGTTCCCAGAAAGATATGTTGACTACCTAACCCCTGATACCTGTAAACATGACCTTGCTTGGAAATAGGATCTTTGAAGATGTTATCAGCTAAGTTAACGTGAGGTCATACTGGAGTAGGATGGGTTCTGATCTAATCTGAATCTTGGCTTTATAAAAGAGAAGAGACAAACAGAGACATAGAGGGAAGACAGCCTTATGATGATGGAGTTATGCTGCTGCAAGCCAAGGAATGTCTGGGGCTAACAGAAGCTGGGAGAGACAAAAAAAGATCTTCCCCTAAACTTCAGAGAGAATGTAGCCCTGCTGGCACTCTAAATTTGTTCTACAAACTGAGAGAGTAAATTTCTTTTCTTATAGGCCACCCAGTTTGTGGTATTTTGTTACAGCAGCCTTAGGAAACCATTGCACCATGCTTCTAGTTATTTTTTTATCCATTCTCAAGTCCATATTCCACGTCAGCCACTGCCCTCTGTCTTTCTCCTTCCCCATCCAGAATGCTCTAAGAGTTGTTGGCAAAGTTCCTCACTTACTGCTTACTCCTGTGGCCTCTGCAATTCGGCACCCACTTCTGTCATTCCACCAAAAGAGCTTTTGCTATGATCACCAATGACCCAATATTGCTATATCCAAATGACATTTTTTGTTTTCATTATAATGACCTCTCAGTAGAATGTAAGAGGTCAAATGTTCAGG